CGAAACACTGGCACCTCCCTCCCGCGGAGGCTGCGCAGCATGAGGACCCCTCCCCATTCTCTCCTCTGCGCTTGGCTGTGCCGCCCCCCCCCTTCCTGGTGCGTGCCCCCCGCTCGCCAGGCTGGGTCCCCTCTCTAGGATCTGTGCTTGGTTGCCCCACTTTCTGGCCTCCCCCATTCTCACCGTTCATCAGTGGTACAAACCGTCCCTGACCTGCAGGAGGGGGTCAGTCGTGTCCTGGATGCCCTGACCGCTCGGCTGGACGGAGGCTCGGTCATGCCTCTGTCAGCAGCACCCGTCTTTCTTGCCCTCTGGGCCATGGAGGCAGGGTCTCCGTCTGGGCAGGGCCCCTGTTTGAGCGTCCAGCGTGTGGCTGGAGCAGGGACTCAGCCGGGTGAGCGTGGACCCGGGTGCTGGGCCTCAGCCCGGTCACAGCTGGGTTTGGGGGATCACAGTGGAGGTTTAGGCCTTCCCAGGAGGGAGGGTGCGCTCCCGGCCCAGGTCCGAGTGCGTTTTCAGTACGAGTTGTTGAGTGACTGAGAAACGGACGTGCCCGGGGCCCTTTCAGACCAGCCTGATGCCTGGGTGGAGACCTAAGGGGGGCCCCCGGATGGCAGGGGAGCCCTTGGCCGCCTGAGGGACGCGGCGCTCAGAGGGGACCTCGTGCGGGGCGAGTGGGACGTCGCTCACCTGTCCCCGCTCTCTTCCTGCACAGCGGGCGCAGCTGTCCCCATAGAGGCTTGCTGTGCCGATGGACACCTGATGGCCACTCAGCACCGGGCCTGCTCCCTGCCCTACGCTTCGGAGTCCAAGGAATGCAGGTACGTCCTGGGGGGCCACCGTGGTACCAGGTGTTCTTTAGAGGCAAGTGGGGGAGGAGGGGACAGTGTGTGCCAGACCCCTGGGCTGTGGGCAGCGCCAGCCAACCCCAGCCTCCTCCGGTCCCCAGACGGGACTCGGCTCGCCCTTCCTGTGCAGTCCTGTTCTTCCCACCAGGCCATTCCTGTCCCCACCCCTGAAGCCTCCGCAGGGGCCTGGCACCCGGTAGGGCTGCAGCCAAATTTTGTTTCGCCTGTAGTAAAATACACAGAACAAGTTTTACCGTCTTAACCACTTACAAGTGTCCAGCTCAGCACCTTCCCGTTAGACGACCGCCACCGCCGTCGTCTCCAGAACGTCCCCATCTTCCCAAACCGGGGCTCTGTCCCCACGAGACAGCTCCCGCTCCTCTCCCCCGNCCAAACCGGGGCTCTGTCCCCACGAAACAGCTCCCGCTCCCCTCCCCCAGCCCCTGGCACCCTCCACCCCACTTTCCGTCTCTTTGGGTCCGACTCCTCCAGGTTCCCGTGTAAGTGGATTCACGCAGCATTTGTCCGCCTGAGCCTGGCTTATTTCACTGAGCGTGAGGTCCGCAAGGCCCACCCGTGTTGTAGCAGGCCTCAGAATTTCCTCCTTTTTACGGCTGAGTAATATTCCCCCGCGTGGACGGACCATGCTCGGCTTGTGTGCTGATACCTGTCGGGGTCACTGTCTTCGGTTCCTTAGGGCAGCGGTTTTCACCGGATGTGCCGCAAGAACCCTTAAAACATTGGGCACCTATTGAGTCAGGGGCACTGACCTCTCTCTCCTCAGACTATCAAATATAAAAATGACAGCAGCCAGCACGATAGCCATCTGGTGTGAGTGAATCAAAGTTACACCTTTTTTTTTGGTCAGATCGGCAAAAAATATATTTTTAGTTGTGCCGCAGAATTTTTGTAATTGTTTGTGTGCCGTGAGATGACACAGGCTGAACATCGCTGCTTTTGGGCACGTACCCAGAGTGGAATGGCTGGGTCACACGGCAGCTCTATTTTTAAGTTTTTGAGGAACCTCCATGCTCTTGTCCACAGCGGCTGCACCCTCCGCGTTCCCACCGACGCTGCTTTTCTGCTCGGCCGGCGTTTGTGAATGAACGGATGGGGGACGCGGAGCTGGCTGCTCCTCCTGACAATGCAGTGAAATGCCCATCCAGATTTTTTTTTTTTTTTTGCAAATCCACCCAAAGCAGGAGCAAACAGACGAGCCCATCCCAGAGCTCCAGGGCAGTTCCAGAACCACCTGGGAAGCGGGGTGCAGAGCCCCACAGGGTGGAGGTGGGGAGAGGGCCGGCAGAGGTGGCCTGGCCGGGGCGCAGGGAGGCTGGGTGGGCCCCACCGCCTCTGGACAGGCGCAGCTCCTCCTGCGTTACAAGCCAGGGTGGTTTAGGGCCTGGTGGGAGCCAGACCCGTGCTCCCCTGCCCGCCAGCAGGGCCCGTCCCTCCCTCTGCTGCCTTGGGTGAGCTACTCCATCTCTCTGGAGCTACTTCCTCTGAGGCTGGCAAACGGGGATGAGTGTTGAGATGAATTCAACTCGGGGAAGGATGAGGGGTCTGGCCCAGAGTCCCCAATTAGCAGCCTTTATTTTTTAAACAGGTGGGAACGTTTTGTGGGTGAGGCTCAGAGCTCGGCGAGACAGATCTGGGCTCCGGTGGTACAGCTGGGTCTGCTGACTCTGCCCCGGACGCCACCCTGCGTTTAGTCTCCCCGAACATTTGCTGAGCTCCTCCGTGTGCCATGTGTTGTGTGTGTGTCTGGGGGTGAAGGGGTAGGTTGGGGAAGGCACTGCCCGCAGAGCCTTGGCCCTCTGCCCAGCCCGCCCCTCTGCCCGCAGGATGGTCCAGGAGCAGTGCTGCCACAACCAGCTGGAGGAGCTGCACTGCGCCACCGGGATCAACCTGGCCAACGAGCAGGACAGCTGCACCGTGCCCCAGGGCAACGCCAGCCTCGAGGCCGTGTTTGTGAAGGTGAGCCGCTGTCCTGCCAGCCAGTGCGCCCGGCCCCTCCCAGCTCAGCGGCCATGCCCATCAGCAAGAGGCCGGGCACTCCCCCCTCCACACCCCCACCAGCTCCAGGCCCCCTTTCCTTCTGAGCAGCAGGGAGTGCCCAGCCCGGGAGGGAGAGAGACCACTCGTGCCTCCCTGTCTCCTCCAGTTTAATCAGTGATCCCTGGACTGCGTCTGGGCCCTTATAACACTGGGCAAANTCTCCTCCAGTTTAATCAGTGATCCCTGGACTGCGTCTGGGCCCTTACAACACTGGGCAATTGGGGGTGGAGTGACCCAGTCTTGCCCTGAGGACTTCCAGTCCTGGGCTTCAGGCAGGAACCCAGAGGTCAGAGCAGGGGTCACCTGGGCCTGGGGCCTTCAGAGCTGTCTTCTTAGTACAAGGCCAGCACCTGCCCCACTTAGGAGGCCCCCAAGCTTCTCTCCCTCTGGGGCTAGTCAGAGCCCAGAGCTCAGAATGGGCTCCCACTGAGGCCTCCAATCCCATGACCTTCATCACCACCCTAGGAGAGGAAACTGAGGTTCAGAGAGGCCCACATTCCACAGGGGGGAGGGCCAACAGGGGAGGGGTCTGGTGAGGCAGAGCTGGAAGTGGGGTCCGTCAGGCCCTGAGAGAGCCCTGCCCTAAACGTGAGCTGTAAGTGACGGAAACCGCCCGGGACCCCAGGTCCAGGCCCGGTCACGCGGGGTCTCCGGCCCTGGAAGGCCGCCTCTCTGCGTGGGTGTGGGGAGCTCCAGACAGCGTTCCCAGGTCTGAAAACTGCAAATAAGCCAATGAGCAGTCCGGGCTGTCCCTCCCTTCCCACTTTCGGAGGGTGGAAATCGGGGCTGGCCCGGGAGCTCCGGGTTGGAACGGTACCCTGGTCAGCGGGGCTTCTGTTGGCGGCGCCCAGTGACAGGAGTGAGTTCCCTGGAAAAGACATTTCCTGTCCCAGTCAGGCGGCCGTGGAGTCACGTCCAGGAGCCAGAGGCGGGCAGGATGAAGTCGGCTCCGAGAGGGGCCGTGCGGGCTCCTCCTGGGATTCTCTTTTCACGCAGACTGGGACCGGGAGATTTCACGGGGAGGCACTGAGGGTCCAGCGCCCCCCCCTCCCCCGCCTTTATGCCCCTTCACGGAGGAGGCTTCTGGCGGGAGGGAGCCGGGTGGGGCGAGGGCGGGGAGGCTTGGTCGAAGGGGGCCTGGGAGCCAGGACCCTGGCTGGCGAGTGACTGCCTCCCTGGGCAGGGCCGGCCTCCAAGACACCGTCTGCCTGGCAGGCAGCTCTGCCCATGTCCCCAGACTCCCAGAGAAAGGGAGGAACAGAGAGAACATGGACCGTTCTCGCGGGAGTGGGAACAGGTCCCCCGGCAGAGGAGTGAGTTGCGTTCCGGGAAGGGTGGCTCATGCCGCACAGGGCCGAGGGTGGCCAGGCGCCTCCTCTCTGGCAGCAGGGGTCAGAGAACGTGTGATACCTGCCACCTCCCCAGAAGGTGAGGCTCCGCCGCGCCTCCTGCTGGCGCTGTGGGCCTTTGGAAAGTGGAGGCAACTCTTAGGAGAGTAAAGACTAATAAGGCTTTTTAGAGGTCAGGGCGAACATTGTCCCCGGGATTCAGGTGTGACTTGGGGAATGTTGGGGTCCAGGTGACCGGCAGCAACTCTGTCGCTCACCCGATGACTTGTTTTGTCCTGTGCTTTTTAAATGCAGGACTCAGTTCCTGTTGCCGGGGCCACCCTGCCTGGGGAGGGGACACAGGGGCACATTCATGCTCCGGGCACTGCGGAGAAACCTTAGACCTCAGGGGGGTGGGGCCTCTTGGGGCTGCCACGAGACTCTGACAGCGTCTCTCTTGGCTCCCTCTTCCTGAGACATGTTGAGGGGCCGTTGGACAGGGGCTGGGTGCAAGGCCTTTCGAGGTTCCTTTCAAAACCGGGACCTGGGAGGTTTGTGGGCTCGGCCTGCTTCGCTGTTTACTGCCGCCGTTTAGAAGAGGTAGCTGTCTGGCACGTGTCATCGCAGTCCGGGGGGAGTGGGCATGGGGGATCTGAGAGGCCCGGGGTCCCTGCTGTGTCGTTGTCTGACTCCTCCTTCTGGGGTCCCCTCCTGTGTTTACAGAGATGTTGCCATTGCTGCCTGCTGGGGAGGGTGGCCCAGGCCCGGGGCCAGAGCTGCGAGTACAACCTTATGGTCGGTTACCAGTGTGGCCTGGTCTTCCGGGCCTGCTGCGTCAAGGGCCAGGAGACCACAGACTTCGCCCCCTCGGACAATGGGGACCTTCAGGAAACAGGTAATGCTCCCCTCTTCTCTCCTGGGCAGCGCATTAGTCAGGGTTATCCAGAGAAACAGAACCAATAGGAGAGAGAGAGATTTGTGTGAAGAAGTTGGCTCACACCGTTGTGGGCACTCACAGTCTCACTGCAGGATGGGCCAGCAGGGCAGACACCCAGGAGAGCTGCTGCTGCTGCTCAGGTCTGAAGGCTGTCTGCTGGCAGAATTCCTTCTTGCTTGGGGGAGGTTAGTCTTTCTTTTATGTCCTTCACCTGATTAGACAAGGCCCACCCACGTTATGGAGAGCAATCTGCTTAACCGAAAGTCTGCTTATTTAAATGTTAATCTCACCTAAAAATACCAGTACAATGAAATCCAATCTAGTGTTTGACTAAATATCTGGGTATTGTGGCCCCACCAAGTGGAGACATAAAGGCAGGGTCTGCACACACATCTACCTTCAACTCAGTGCAGACAGAGTCTAGTTGTCAGAGCAGTTGCATGTTTGTTTCCTCATCTGAGACCCTCTTTCCTGGAGTGAGACTGAGGTCTTGGGATCTGGGTTCCGACAAATCAGGTTCATGTCCCTGTCCTAGCATGTATTCCCGACAGATTGGTTTATCCCAGCCTCAGTTTCCTCATCTGTGAAAGGGGGGTCACTGCAGCCCCGCTTCATAAGGTCTCTGGGAAGATGAAATGGGACAGTGAGTATGAAGTGGCGCGGTGCCTGCCCGGCTCCGTAGACATTTGCCGTCACAGTCCTCTCCTGTCCCTCCAACAGCCCTGGTCAGCGTGGGTGGCTGGCCTTGTTCGTGTTTCTTGGGTGAGGACCTGATGCTCAAGGCCACATGGCCGACACACAGAGGACTTAGAGAGCTCCCAGGCCACAGTTCTGTCTCTCCACTGTCCCTTTGTCCGAAGCCGGACAAATCCTGCAGCCTTCGGGCAGGGAGCAGCTGCATGGTTCAGGGAACTCCTTAGTTGTCTAATAACTTCTGCCCTTACGCGGTGAATTCCTGTGAATGGAAACAGCCCCGGGACGCTCGGGAGTCTGCTCTGCCCCAGCTCGCCCCGCGGCTCTGGGCCCCTTCCCTTCTCACTCTGAGCTCCGTACCTTCCGCAACCCCCCGTAAAAATGCGAGAGGGGCAGGGCAGGAAGGACTTCGGAAGGAAGAGGTCACAGACCCGTGGTCCCTAACTCAGGTCATCCATCGCTGTGGCTTTTTGACCCGGCGGCTTCAGGGTTTTGGGTCAGACGGACCAGTCTTCCGTTCTGTGTTTTTAATTTCTCATTTCCAGCCCCGCAGACGCCCTGGGCTGATTCCTGATATCTCTCCCAGTCGTAAAGAGGGATGGGAGCCACATTCTGCCTCCCTCCTTCCCTTTTGAAATCAGAGATGACATTTTTTAGTTTAAACAAACCCAAACTTTTCATCCTGGCCGAGAATTCCTTCTGGTCTCCGGGGAGGACTTTTGTTGATTTATGTCTTGTTTCAATAAAGATCTCTGGGCTTTCCTGCTGCTCCAGATGTCTCATGTCTCCCCCGTCTCTTATCGGCTTCAGTCCTCGCCCCAGACTTGCCTCAGAGCCTCTGGGAGGATTCCCCCGCCCTCCCCCTCGCCCAGTCACAGCCGGGCCTTCCTCCCTCCATGGCGTTTATCATGGGCCTACTGTGTGCTGCCACGAGGCCGCACAGAGGGGCCACAGACCCATGCCGGCCTGTGAAAAATAAGTACAGAATTGAGAGTAAAATTTGGCAACTTCTGTAAGTATTTGATAGAGTCAGTTATGTCTGTTTAATCTCAGTGAAAAAAATCAAGGCTCCTATGTCTGTTTTTGTAACTTAGTTTTTCCAGTAATTCCTTTCTAGTATAGTCATTGAGGTATTGGGCTAAGACTGGGGAAAGAACCCTGTTCCTTTCCCGCGGGTAGTTTGGGACGAACGGCATAGCCTGCTAATTCCCATTCTACAGACCGGGAGACCGAGGCTGGGGGAGCGCAGCGTCTGGATTGGTTTTCCAGCAGGGATCGCAGTCTTTCCACAGCAGGCTGCCGGCTCCCACACATCGCCCGGGAATCCTGATGACCTCATCGCCCGGCTGATAAATAGTCCCTCGCGAGTCCTCCGGGCCTTGTCAAAAGAGCCTTTGGAGGACGGGGTCTGGACACCCTGGCCTGTGCCTGGCACACGGAAGGGACTTGGTCTTTGCCAGGTTGAAGACACCAAGTGTATGAAATGTCCCTAAAAATGAAGACCCTGAGTCAAGGTGCCCCAGCCTCCTAACCTAGAAGAGACGGTTACACTCTAAAGAGCTTTTCCTTAGTTCCCTCCCAGGTGAAAAGGCCTTTGAATTATTTAGAGACGCTTGTTGGATTTGAATAGCCCTGAGAAAGAATGCCTTGGGCATGGTTAGCGTGTGTAAGCGATGTTATGTTGAGTTTTATAGTAGAATTACTAATGTTTCTTCTTGATGACGGTTATTATTCCTTTGCGCATGTAACGTGTGCTCACTGTGGGCATTTAGAAGATCCAGAAAGGTAAAAGGGAGAGGAATCGGTACTGTTTCTATTGGAAACCCACACGGAGAGATACTGTTTCTATTACTGTTTCTATTGGAGACCCGTGTGGAGAGAGATACTGTTTCTATTGGGAACCCACAGGGAGATAGATACAGTTTCTATTAGGCCACATTTCCTTGCAGTCTTCTATTCGGTGTCTGTTTTGATCCGTGCTTTGCTGCCCAACATGGTTGTAATTGCTACTGGGTTGTGATTGACTTGCGATCACTGTCATTTCGTCTGGTGGGAGGGTCCTCAACGTCAGACAGCTTGGTTTTCAATTATCCCCAGAGATTCTTCCCGCCCTTGGCTGCATCAGCGACGTCTAAAGGACTAATCCATGTCTCTCGCGCCAGAACTGCTGGTGGGCCACCACCCTATGAAATCAGGGCCCCCGCACCCACCAGGTCGCTATCCCATGGCCCCGTTGCATTTTCTACTGAAAGTAGGGGCCTGGTCCCTGCCAAGTGCTGACCCAGTGAAGGCTCACACACCTTCATCGAATGAATCGAGTGAGTGATGAATATTGATGGCTGGCACTAAATTGAGCTTTGCAGGCAAACTGTATAAAATCAGTGTACTCATTTCCTGGGACTGCTGTAATAAAATACCACAGACTGGGTGGGGGCTTAAACAACAGACACGTATTGTCTCACTGTCTGTGTGTCTGTCGTTGCGTCCAAATTCCCCCTTTTTATAAGGACACGGGCATTGGGCCCAGGCCCACCCTGATGACCTCATCCTAACTTGATCATTGGCAAAGACCCTTCTCTAGTGTGATCCACTCCCAGATGCTGGGACTTAGGGCTTCAGCATCTGGGGGGGGCACAGTTCAACCCACAGCAACAAGCTTTTACCAGGGACGTTGCTGTAGGCATGGAGGGCGTGACTTGGTTGACAGCGGGGCCGTGACTGCCTGTGCTGAAATATTTGAGCAATTCAGACGTGACAGCACTCTGTGGTCAGTGGACGGTTCCAGACCCTTGGGCCGATGCTGCTTCTGTTACAACAGATCTTTTTAAATTTGATTTCGGAGAGAGGAAGGGAGAGGGAGAGAGAGAGACAGAAATATCACTCAGAGAGTCATTGATCGGCTGCCTCCTGCACGCCCCCTGCTGGGGATGGAGCCCGCAACCCGGGCGTGTGCCCTGACGCAGAATCGAACCGGCGACCTCCTGGTGCACAGGATGAGGCTCGGCCTAACTGAGCCACGCTGGCCGGGCTGTCATTCTCTGCTTAAAAGGGGAAAGTGAATACTGAGCTGCTAGGAGTTGCACCTGGGCGTTGCTGCCTGATATTTCCAGGAGGACAAACTATTCTGTGTCTCCTGAGAGAAGATGGGGCGCTGCGTGTGGCTGACCTGTCCCCCCTCTCTCGCCCCGTAGCTAAGGTTTCCGACATGGAGGAAGAGCAGGAGGACCCGTACCTGAACGACCGCTGCCGAGGTGAGACTCGGGGTCCTCTCCAGGGCCATGGGGTCGCTAATGCAGCAGAGTCAGTGCTGATCTCATTGGGAGCTTGACCTCAGGTGGCGCTCAGGCTCCCCTGGGAACTGCCCGCGGGCTGGGAGTCAGCTGGGAGCCACTCTGTGCTCTCCCAGGCTCCTTCCCTTCTCGCTCCTCACCAGGGCCTGGCGGGCGAGGGGGGGAGGCTGGGCTTAGAGAGGAGCCACCACCAGAGAAGCTGGTGTTGAAACCCCCCCACAGTGTCCGCCCACCCCGCAGCTCCCCGGCTCTGTGAGTGGAGAGCGCAGCTCCCCCCAAGGCTCCCCTCAGGGGAGGGGGCGAGTGTTATTTGGCTTTGTGTCCGGGAGCCCCGCTGTGCCATCAGTAATACCCATTTGTCTCCCAAGGGAGACGTTTGCAAATGTAGAGTTACGGGGCCTTGCAGGTTTGTTTTTTCATGTGATAAAAGTTTATTTCTCTTTCCTTATGGCACGTCTAGACCTGCAGGTTTGCTCCGCAGGCTGGCTCAGCACTGGCCCTGTGGTCAGGGTGTTAATTAGAGAGGCAGTTTAATCACCAAATGATGTGGCCGGTGCACAGTGACAGCACAGAGGCCGGGTGGGGGGTATGGGAGGGCTTGGGATGGGCAAGGGTACATTAGCGGGGAGAGTGACATTGCG